ATGTCAGTGATAATAATAGTTTCTTATGAAGGTTGTTGTAAGGATCCAATGAGATAATTCATGTAAAGGGCTTGGCAGATAGTAAGAGCTCAATAAATAGTAGCTCTTACTACTATCATTATCATGTACATAGTAGACTCTTTTAAATTCTGGAAATAGTTCTTCAAAGATAAGACTACTTCTTAAACCAATTATTTGGAGGAAATATGAAAGGGAGGATGAAGTAAGGAATCCTTTTGAGTAAATACTTGCCAGGTCACTTGAGGCATATAGAAATGGAAGCAGTTGTACCTGACCCAGCACTGAGAAATGTGGATGGAAAGACAAGATTCATCCTGAATTGCAGGCTTTGGGAGAGCCCTTTATGCAGTACCCAGACTCTCAGTTAGCCATTTAAACAGCTGGCCGATGCCCTGTTCTCTCATCCTTATAGCAGTTCCAAGGGCCTCCTTGTGCCCCTTCCCTCCCTGGTTCAGGGCTAGAAACACCTCAGGTAACTTCTTGTGAGCTGCAGTGACAGCATGGACAGCCAGCCTCACCAAGAAGTCAGCTGGGTGCAGAGACTGGGTGATGGCAGTGGGCAGCACTGGGCCAGAGGCCCACAAAGCCAAGAAGAGGCACACTACTTCGTGCCAACCAGCCTAATCGGAGCCTGCGGACTGAGATGCACCAGGAAGCCTGTGCTTTCCTATTCTAAGAGAAAAGGTCAAAGAGCTGGAGCCTGCGGCCGAGGAGAATGGCCTCTGCTAAACTGCCCTTCCCTTACATTCTTCTCTCTCTCTCTCTTTTAATAAGAAGGGTGTTCCTTTCCTCAAAGGGAGAGAGAGGGAGGGAGGGAGAGAGAGACTGTAAACTGTCCAAAAGGACCGTGAGAAAACAGGAAGCTTTGAAAAGTACAAGAGAAAGCAAGATGAAATCTATTTGCAGGCGGGCCCCTGGGGACATGTGAGGCATTGTTAAGCAGGCAGTTCATACAGCTATATCCTTCCTTCTGCTGAGGAGGGCTTTGCTGCCAAAAGGCTGCTATCTGGTCACTGCCTTAACCCCCTCAATGCCAGCCTGAGTGCTTGGACCCAAAGTCCTGGGCCCCTAAAAGCCCCCACCTGGTTTGTCCCCCATGGGGCATCCAAGAGCTGGAGTAGGAAGCAAAGCCATGGTGGCAAAGGTGGTGGGGACCTTTTTCAAGGAGACCTCATCCTCTTCTATCAGCCCTGCCCTCCGTCTTCAGGCCTCTACTTCAGACGAGGCTGCAGATGACCTGGTGATTCATAACTTAGGCAGCTCCCGGCTTCACCCATCTCAAAGGAGAATTTGTCCCGGAAATTCTGGATGGCTGCTTTTCCTGGACAGGTTTCCCAAAGACGGCAGCTGGTTCTTTGCTATTATGGAGTGTGGCTCTACAAGGATAGCATCCAAATCAACCCCTGCATGCTTACGCAGAATCTGGGAAGCATATTTCTGAAACATGGCTTAAGTCTACAGGCGCAGGTCTTTGGAGATACTCCAGCTGGCTCCAAGAAGCAGGGAGTCCAGAAGTGGAGCCAATAGCATAAGAGCCCAGAAGGGCAGTAATTTTTTTTTATAAAAAAAAAAAAATAGAAACACAGAATGGAAACCTTTCCTCTCCTCTAATTTTCCATCCTATTGTTAATGCTTAATCTCACAGTAAGCGAATGTTTCTGCTTGCTGTGGACAGCTGTTTCCACTGAGCACGGGGCAGAGAGAACCATTTCATGTTGCAACAGGGGGAGGGCTGTATGTTTGGAAGGATTTTTAGTGGTGTGAATCCTAAGAAATTAGAACCTGTTATTTAAACAGTCTCCCCTTTTTATAAGTTTTCGAGTAAAGGAGACGGAGCTGACACTTGGAGTACGACTGGAACAAGGCCTGTGTCTTTTTGCTAGCCATGTCAACCGTGTGAGGGGAATAACCCTTCCCTGTAAGTACAGTAAAGCTCGGGTTTAGTTGTCTGGGCCTTTTCTCCAACATCACTATGCAGCCAGCCAGTCACCCGTGTCTGATTGACTCTGAATTCTGTAGCAAGGAGCAAATGGCCCTCCATCCTGTACCTAACTCCCAAAGCACCATCAACCTCTACCCATTACCAGATCTCCAAGAATCTACAACAACACTGACGGGGAGCAAAGGCTACAGGACACCATCTCGAGATGGCCCACCCAACAGTGGGATCTGGATCTGGAGCCTGGACAGGACACAAAGAGCCCTGTCATGTGATCTGTAAACTCAGACATGCTCTGAGATTCCTCTGAAGTGAAGAAAGGCAGCACTTTGTGGGGACATGGGGACAAAGAGGGGGAGGACCCTGGCAGTGCTTCTGGCACTTCTCAGGAGGCAGAGGGCTCTCCATTGAGGTGACTGATGCCTGTCCTCGTTCAAGAAACATCTAAGAAGGGAGAAGGGCCACCTGTTTGACAAAAATACCCTTCAACATCCAATTATTTTTCTTCTGATAGTAGATACACTCTCCGAGGCAGCCACCTGACCCAAAGTGTGGTCTTCTAGGACAACCTGTCCCACCCCCCCCCAACCAGGAAAAGGATGCCTTTGCAGATGACCAGTCTAATTCGTGCACCAGGCCCATCTGGTACTGAAGAGTATAAACTGTGCACCATTTCAGAGCTCATAACTTATCCTGCAAGCCCTTCTCTTATGGAATCTGGTGGTGTGAGCATACATCCAGAGCCTAAACCATTCTCAGGGAGAGGTCATATTGAGTTTCTGAACCATAAAGTTGATCATCAGGCACCCTCTAAACCATGTATGTGCACTGTCATTGGGGTGGATGGAGGAGGAGGGGGCAGTGATTCATGAAAGGAGACCTAAAGCTTTGAGCAGGGCTGGTTCACTGCATCATTGGGCCCAGGTTGCACTACAGCATGCAGTCTTCTGTGCCCTGGTGCCAGAGAGAATCCTCTAAATCCTCGGGTACCACCTGGTCCAAGAAATCCTCCAGGCCACTCTGAGGCCCTTGAGGTAGGCAAACAGAACTGCCTCTGCGTCCCCAGATCAAACCCAGCCAGCAAGCCCTTTTCCTGCAGCGGCTCTGCTCCCTGACATATCCCTTATTTCAGAGGTATCTTCTGCCTGGTTTCACAACTACTCCTGGACCTGACTTGAAAAGGCAGAAGTGTGAGTTAGTTGGACCGGACACGGGTGGAAGGGACCACAAGCATGGCTACCTTCATGCCTTAACAATGTATGTGTTCTGCCACCAGTTGGTTTGATAAAAAATACAGTTCATGCTGGAAGCCCAAGAGTAAACTCAGCACAGCAAATGAGGAGTGGCAAGCAGTGCCCGTTTGCACCTTGACTTTAGGAGACAGCAAACTTCTGGCAGGCAGGAATAGCTCTGTTAAAAGCGAAAGGCTCAAAGTGGGAAGCGGGAAGGAAATCCAAATGCCTAATCAGAGAGAGAAGAAGTGATGTACGGAGTCCCTGGGCTCATGTGGCCAGGGCTAGCTTCGTGGGTGTGTGACCAATGCAGTCACACCCAGCCACATCTCAGAAGCGTCCTGAGTTTGGTGTAATGTTCTACTTGTACCATCTCAAAATTTCTTAATAACATTTGAACAAGGGGCCTTACATTTTCATTTTGCATCAGGCACTATCAATTATGTAGCCCCTTCTGCACGCAGCTTCCTTCTCCTTCAACTCAGATGGCTCAAGATGGACATAAATTGACTTGCAAACCACTGGGAACTTGAAGCAAAGGAGGGGAAACACAAGTGGGTGGCAGGAAAGGGCTGGAGGGAGAAACCTCCCTCCCCCACCTGCAGAGAATGCCCACACAGGTCTAGGGAAGCTCTGGTTCCTGACCCCGCTCACCCTGTCCAGGAGTGGCCAACACAGGAAAGCAGTCAGCTTCACAGGGGGTTCCTTCAAGAAGGGGGGGAAAGGGGACATGCTGTAGAGGGATTAAAGCAGGAACCGCCCCTCAGATGGACAGAGAATATCATCTGGACACTATAAGACATGCAGTGACAGAGAAGGGAAACTTCCATTTCAAACAGAAAGGCTCTAACAATATATGAGGGTGTGATTTCCCTCTCCTTCCCCCTCAGCTCTCTCTCTTCATGATGGGGATGGCACGTGCCAGTACATTAAACTACCCAATCCTCAGCAAGATTCCTTCTCATTCTAGAAGTGGAGAAGGGAAACAATGTGGGGAGAGGATGGGAAGAAGGGGGAAAAGCCTGGGAAGCCCAAGCATTTCTAAATAATACCAGTCAATGCCTTGAGTTTTACAAATCTCCAACTCACACATTTTCTCAGCTGATAAAATAGCAATTCAACCAAATGAATCTGATGCGGACATTTTAATGAAGATGCTCAAAATCCCTGAGCTCCATGGTACTTAGGAACAAAGAAACACTTCAGATGACTGTGCTCACAGTTATTCCTTGGCCCAAACAAGCATTTCTAAGGTCGTCAGAGGACTAACCTTGGAGTCTCTTTCATCCTGCCTCAGAGACCTGTCCTCAAATTACACTTGAAGTCCAAGTGTCAGGAAGGCGGAGGGGGGTGAGGGAGTGCAGTGTGAGAAGGGAGGGGGCAGTGCTAGAAGACTCTGTGACTCCTTTCTGTGTTTCACTCATTGGCTTGTAAGGAGAAGAGTATTATACTCAATTGCTTCTTTCTGGAATGGGAACTTTCCACATCACCTTCATCCTTTAACAACCTCATTTCCCAATGGGCCTTCCACCCTCAGACTTCCTCTACTGGCTCCCTCCACCCCTGCACACTGATTCCACAGTGAGACCAATAATAGGACAGGCTTCTCAGGGACCAGCTAAAGGCTGGCATGGTACAAAGAACAGAGCAGCAGATGGGCCTGGGGTTAGCCAAAGACCTACTCTGAGCCTCAGTGACCCCACTGGTGAAACATAGTAGGAAGTTTCCTGGAGACTCTCTCCCCTTGGGCATTTGTACAACCCTCAGAGTCCTCCCTGTCTGCATTCCTCCCAGGGCCCACTGCCCACCTTGCATTTGAAAGGCTTCACGTCAGAATGAACGATCATGTGTGCCTTGAGGGTCTGTTTCTGCACAAAACTCTTGTAGCACAGGTGACACTGGTAGGCGCGGATGTTGGTATGAATCAGCACGTGTCTCTTCATGTTGGCCAACAGAGTGAACTCCCGCCCGCAAATCCCACATTTGTGTTCCTTCACACCCTAGAGGGAAGCAGATTCAAAAATACTGTGGTTAGCAGGTAACAGGCTTTCATCAGAATTGTAGTCTTCATTCTTCTGTTTGCCACAAAAATCCATGAAGAGCCTGGTGACAGATGTTGAGTTCCAAATGGTGTGGCTTTAGCCTTGTTAACTGCTGTTTTCTTGAAAGGTGTTGATTACGTAATCTTTTTTTGTCTTCTGAAAACCATTAACTAAGCCAGAACTTTATTTTTTTTAATTTTTTTTTTAACGTTTACTTATTTTTGAGACAGAGAGAGACAGAGCATGAACAGGGGAGGGGCAGAGAGAGAGGGAGACACAGAATCAGAAACAGGCTCCAGGCTCTGAGCTGTCAGCCCAGAGCCCGACGCGGGGCTCGAACTCACGGACCGTGAGATCATGACCTGAGCCGAAGTCGGACGCTTAACCGACCAAGCCACCCAGGCGCCCCTAAGCCAGAATTTTAGAGGAAAAGAACGCTACTGCTTTTGTTGTTCCTGATGCTACATGGGTTAATTCTACAATAACAGTTTTGGGGATTAAAAAGATTTTGGTAGGAGCACTGTGGAATGATATGTGAAATGAGTCTATAATCTACCCTTCATGATAATGAAAAAAAATAAAACTTCCTAAAGTGATAATATCATTTCTCATATGAAAACCAATGTTTTCTTGAGTTCTCATTAATACACTTGAAAATCCCAGGAGAACAATTCATATCTACTGTTCAATAAATTACAATAGGTCACAGTGACCTGGGCTCCCATAGGTCATAGTGACTTCTATGTGATTTGGCTATGGAGTCTCTGCTCAGCTAGCTTCTGTCCTATAGAGAAATTTGGCAGTGGATATTTGAATACTTAAGCATTAATGTCCTCACTTGAAAACATTTCCAGGAACTCATAGCATGAGTAGAGTATTAGCTAGTCCCAACTAACCAGTGCTTCCCTGAAAAGGCCTTTGCAAGCTATCTTAACACAGAATGACTTTTCAGAAGGAAAACTTAGAGAACCATGGCATTAAAACTAAAATTATTATGGAATTATAACAAGTTGCTTAGTTAACAACTGTACCTAATAAAACACATATTGCCTGGTATCCATAATGACCTGGGAGAGAGGAGTTCCAAGCTTACCTCTGAGTCTCTCTGCCTATATGTCCATTTCTTTAATTTGGGACTTGATAATAAAACAGCACTCCTCAGTTTTGGTGAGCCCATGGCACCCAAGGACAAGTTCAGGTCTCTGCCCAACCATTTACTGGCTATGTAACTGGAGGCAAGTTTCATGGCCTTTCCTGGTGATGGTTCTCTCATTTGAAGATGGTGGGTCATGAGCCAGGGACTCTTTCCAGCTGGAATACTCTTGAGTCTAGATGATTGCAGAAGAGTATGGATATATACTAATGAAGAGACCTAAATTTTAAGGCCCTCCTAAGAAGATGAATTTTAAGTGTGTTGCATATTCAATCAGTGAATTTAAATTTTTTTTTTTTAAATTAACGAAAATTATGTTCTTGATGTTTTTTAAAAGTTACTTCAGCATTTTTCTTCTCAAGATTGCCTTTACACTCATCTGTGATTCAGCTGACCTGGGACCAAGGAGAAGTATCTACTTATCACTGTTTTTGGAATTCTCTCAGAGAATTCTATGTCCACGGTAAAATTCACCTATGAGCTGGCCTAGAACTCAAGTGAATGAAAGCCTAGACACAACTCCGGGAACAAAGGAAGCCACCTTGTCACTAATAGGATCAGTGAAATCAGAGAGGGAGCCTGTAGGGGTTTTCAGGGGTGAGGGAGGGAAGGGGGTGGAGAAGAGAAAGACTTGACAGTAGTGTTTCAGTCAGGTGCTCGAGTCCAAGATTCTGGGTGACCACCCCATGCCTCAGCGTCTTCATCTGCGAATCTAGAATAGTATCTGCAGGTTGCTCTTCCAGTTGTTAAAGAGGATTAAATGAGAAGTAAAGCACCTGATATACAGCAACCGTTATATAAACACTACCTCTCACTGCTGACACTATGAATTAAAATGCATTTTGTTTTCTAATTCCAGTGAGATGTTTCAGATACGAGGCTGCTTTGCCCATTTTGACTTCATTTTCTACTATCTTACGGAATTTTTATATGTTCTGAAATGCATCTTTGATTCCTTTTCCACACATGTAGGAGCCCCTGAAATCAGCAATGGTCCCCTTTGTGGGTGAATCTCAGTACAGGTTCTTTGCTGAGGGTTCCTGCACTTGGCAGGGACCTCCTCTCTGGATGGTATCTACAGGTGCCTTTTGTGGGGCAGGAGTTGTTTGTGCACTGCCCACAAGGCAACCACACATTTCATCTCCACGGCAGAGCCAAAAAAATGCCCCATGTTTTGTCCTAACCTATCAAATGAAACACACTATGGCCGGGTAGAGATGTTATCTCAGCTGAGCAAAGTCCTCCAGTGACCTTTCTGAATTAAAGAGTGTTTTTAGAAACTCTGGCTTGCTAGAAGTCTCGCCTGCCAAGAAAACCACTTGCGGTCAAAAGCGTGAGGGTAGCCAGTGGGGCAAACCTCTCCTCTTGGAAGCTCAAAGCAGACCCAATCAGCTTAGCTGGGTAAGTTATCAGGGACACTACTGTGGCCTCGCCTTACTTCATCCTGAATGACTCCAGGGCTCTGGTTGCAAACCAGGCTGAATTTAGACATTTGTGCCTGTGTATCTCCTTAAAGACCTGAGCCCAGGAAAGATAAAAACAAAGCAGACAGAGCAGGATGCTCTTTCATTCCCCCCACAAAAAAAACCACAGGGCCCTACACCCACCTAGGCAGGGACTCTACCAGGGGAAGCAGAGGCCTTGCTGGATCCAGAGCCACGTGCATATGTGAAGCACTCCTCACAGCTGAGAGTGAAAACACCCCAAAATGTAGGCACTACTTCTGCAGCAAAGGACCAAGAGAATTCTCTAGAAGGTGGCTCTGATTAGCATACCCCAGGCACAGAAATGGTTTGGGTAAATAATACCTGATGGCACACGCATGCTAGGGCCCTGGATGAAGTTTCCAGAAACAGAATTTTAGGGGTGGCAGGAGGCTAAGAAGCAACAGCACAAGGACCAGCTGTTTCCTTCCGCCTTCCTCACCCTCCTTTCCAAACTGCCCACATTATTTATTTCCAGGCCCATCTTAGACTCTAGAAGGCTGGATGGCAAAGGACTTGGTTGCTGGCCCCCCAGCGTCCCCCATTTCAAGGAGAGGAAGGAGGCCAGGACTCAGGGAGGAAGCCCCTCGCCCAGGGTTACACAGCTCCTCCCCGCCCAGGTGCGGGGCGGCGAAGGTCTGCGGGCCCCGCCCCCCCAGGGCTCTGCGCCTGCTCCCCGGGCGCCCGCCCGCGGCCTGGGATCCGGCGGTACCTTGTGGGTGAGGGAGTGCTGCTTGAGGTGGTGGGGCTGCACGAACTCCATGCCGCACTCGGAGCAGATGTAGGGCCGGATGTCCTTGTGCTTCATCATGTGGTTCTGCAGCTGGCTCGGGTACTGGAAGGTCTTGTCGCACTCGGAGCAGCTGTACTGGATGGGGCCCCGGTGAGTGGTGAGGTGCCTCTTGAGCTGGGCCAAGGTGGGGAAGTCGAGGCCGCACTCCACACAGATGTTCTCGCGCCCGCTGGCGTGCTTGGCCTCGTGGGCCTTGAGCTCGCTGGGGTAGGCAAAGCCCCGGCCGCACACGCGGCAGTTGTGCGGCTTCACCTCGCTGTGCTGCATCATGTGGCGCTTCAGGTGGCTGGTCTGCGTGAAGGCCTTGTGGCACACCTGGCACTTGTGGGGCCGTGTGCCCTGGTGGGTGAGCATGTGGGTGTGCAGGTGGCTGAGCTGCTTGAAGAGCTTCCCGCAGCGGGTGCACGCGTGCGGCTTGATCCCGCTGTGGCCCAGGATGTGGGTCACCAGGTTGTACTTGGAGGTGTAGGACTTCTCGCAGGTGGGGCACTGCCAGCGCTTCTGCGCCCCGCCCACGTCCACGTAGTAACTGTCGTCGATGCGCACGTTCACGTCCACCCGCTCCACCTTCTGCTTGGCCTCCTCGCTCTCCTGAGGCTCGGCCTTGCGCGGCAGCAGCGCTTCCGGGGGCTGCTTGGGCAGGAAGGTGTGCCGGCTGAAGGGGAAGGGGGAGGCCGAGGGCATGAAGAAGGGGAACATGAGGCCCGGGGGGACCTTGGGGTAGTAGGGGTAGGGCGCGGGCAGAAACGGAGGGGGCGTCGGCTGGGGCCACACGGCGCTGGGCTTCACGGGCTCCTGCTTGACCGGCTTGCCCCCCAAGTGTTCCAGGGTGCGGTAGAACTGGAAGCCCACGTTGCACAGGTCGATCATTTGCGAGTCATACTTGGGGCGCGGGGGCTGCGGGAAGAGCAGGGAGAGGTTCGGAGGGCCGTGGTTTTTGCTCTCCTCGGAGTGGAGGGCGAGAGGGGCCTCTTCCGCAGGGTGGCTGTAGGGCATCTTGGTGGGCATGCTCTTCCGTTTTCGAGACCCTCCTCCTTCAAAGACCCCCGGGAATCCATCTAGGTGTCCTGGAGGAGGTTCATATCGAAATTGGGAAAAAGGCCCCCGGAGAGCTTCTGGGAAGGGGTGTCTTTGGGGAGCCTTCCCTCGGGAAACCACTGGCTGCAGGCAGTGGGGAAAGGAGGGGGCTCTCTTCACACCCAGATTGAAATGCACATCCTCATCTTTGATCATCTTCATTTCCTTCTGCATCCTTGGCAATTTTCCTTTAAAGAAAAAGAAACTTACTCTTTAAAAAAAAAAAAAAAAGAGCCCCCTTTTTCCTTAAGGGTTTTGGCTAGATGATCAGTACTAATTTATGATGAGTGATGTTTGTTTAATACTGACCCTCCCTTATCCTAGGGCCGCTCGAAGTATCACTGTTTTTTCCCCCTTAGGAACCCATTACTAATGCGGAAAGCTGTGGCCTCCCAGAGTGGGACCCTAGAGCTCCAGTGTAAATCCACAGCCACAGAATATCATCTGGGGGTTGGGAGGCGTGGGAAGGAACCTGAGAACTCAGCCAGCCACTGTGCCCACTTAAGATGAGGGTACCTAGGCCCAGACAGATGAAGGGCACGTTCATGCCCATCGCCCCTCAGTACAGAAGTCAGAACTGGGATGTGTCCTGTGGGTCTCTTAACCTGAGAAAGAGTGCATCTGCCAGTGGTGACTTAAATGTGTCTTTTGGATTGTTTTCTGTTCTTAGGGAACCAATTTCCCCTGCTTTCCTCTCTGTCTTCCAGGCCTTTGCTGCTGGAGGAGGCGGCGGTGGGGGGAGTATGCAAGCCCACACAGGTGAAGAGACTTTCCTGCTCGATTTGGATCTCAGATTTTCCGAGTCACCCACGCCAAGCAAGGTGTGCTGCTGGGGTACATCAAGTGGATGAGATCAGTGTGATTAAGAAAAGCATACGACCCAGTGTTACAAAGTCATCTTGGTAATTTACACACTTTAATCTTCCACCTGAAGCCACCTCAGGTGAAAAATTCCAAGACTGTGAATCTCTAAAACTTAGACACACATGTGTCTAAGTAAAGCTTGGCCTTCGAGGACTCCTGAGGCACCTGACCTTGCCTTGCTGAGCCAGTTACTGCATCCTGGTGACTCTATCAGGTATGTGTGGGAGAGCCTGTGGGCTGGAGTCTAAACCAAGGACGAGGCTTCCTTTCCCGTGTCTCCTTGTCACTTTTCTATACTCCTCGTGTGGGTAGTGGTAAAAACAACCAAGTGGCTGACTTGATGTTTCCATTGAGGGCCCTTTCTACCCAAATCCTCTGAGCTTGAATGGGATTGATTCCCTTTGCTCAACAGAGACTTTCACAGAGCCAGTTGCCCTGGCCAGGTATGCAGTCTGTTCTGGGACCAACGGAGACAGGGCTGGGATAGGGTCCTGGATTAACTGAGGGCCTTGGCCCTTGGGAATGGCTGCATGCTGAGCAGTTAGGGTGAGGGTCCCAGGGGTGAGAAGGCCAACAGCTGCTAGCGATTTTCTCCAGTCTTTGATGAGGCAAATGCGGTTTCTGCAAGCACCTGAGTATTCCCCAAATCACACATATGTCTTGAGGTTTGAAAACTGCAGCACATTAAAGCAAAAATGGGCCTTTTTTTTTTTTTTTTTTATACTGGGTTACCAATTCCATACACAGACGATCTAACTGGGAGGAAAACCCTTGTGCCTTTATTATATGAATATTTGGGCATTACTTAAAACTGTTACGTTAAATCATCAGAAAACTGAAAAGAAAATAATGTCTATTAATCTTTGCTTTGTGTTTATGTGATGGGAAGATAGTCCTGGTTTGTCCTCTTTCTGTGGACTTGGGGTGAAGAGAAAGAGCTTGCTTGTTTAGCAGAAGGAAAGCCCAGACCTGTGCGTCCTATCCTTCTGCTTCCTCCTAAAATTGTTAACCAAATGCAAGGTTCTTCTACTGCTGACTCGAGGACCTGTCAGAGGTCCGGGTATGCTGCTCTGCTATCGTCAGTACCTAAGCGAGGATGGAGAGGGCAGAGGCTCTTGGGATAGCGTTCCACATTTACTAGGTCTCCGTTTGCATTTCAACAGGTTCTGATCCCTGAATTCACATGCAGTTATAAAGGGTGTGTTGGGCCCTGGTGTGAGACTTTGTTGCTCCTATAAGAATAACTGGCTTCCAGATCAGATTAATGTGTCCTATTGAAATAGAGAGGAAAAAATGGCAGCTCCTTTCTCTGGATGTCATTTTGTCTATGGTTGGTTGTATACCCTCTGTGGAGAGAAGATTCTATTTGCAAAAAGGCTCCTTGGACTGGACCCAAATGCCAGGCTACACATGACTGTGACAGACACTGGCAGAGCCCATCTGAGTGCACACTGGTTCTGTTTTATTCTGATCTGGTTTAAAGAGCTAATGATTCCTATTTCATAGAGCTTCATAGAGCTTGATTGTAGAATTAGTTAAAAAAAAAAAAAGGGGGGGAGAACAGACATCAGAACATGGGCCAGAATTTAATGAATTTTTTGTGTATTTTATTGTTAAGAAGGTATTTGAAAATGTATGACTAATGATGTCTGGTATCTTTAAACCGTGTGTTATATCTTATACTAGAAGGTACTTACTTGGAAATGAATGTTATCACTAATTATGAAACAAAAGGTACTTTGGTATATACAATTATTATTGCTTTTGTTTAATATTTGTGTTTTCAGTTGCGACATAGTATACTAATTGAGTCACTTTACTGTATTAGAATTGATATCTTTTTTATTTAAAAATTTTTTTTAATGTTTATTTATTTTTGAGAGAGAGACAGAGGGTGAGTGGGGGAGGGGCAGAGGGAAAGGGAGACAGAATCCCGAGCAGCCTCCAGGCTCTGAGCAAACTGTCAGTACAGAGCCTGATGTGAGGCTTGAACTCACAAACTGCGAGATCATGACCTGAGCCGAAGTTGGACACTTAACTGACTGAGCCAACCAGGCGCCCCTAGGATTGACATTTCTAATGCAATACTGATTTCAAAAGCATATTTATTTTCAGTGTTTGCATTTTTATTTGATCACCATCGACCTTCCAAGGCAAAGAACATCGTTGAACAGAGATGATGTGTCCTTTAACATCAACAGCAGAATTGTGTCCCCCAAATGCAGAGACTTTACATATGTGCATTGTAATTTCCTCCCTATTTTAATATGATAAAAATTTTCCCCAGTTTCTGACTTGTGTATATACACACCCCACCCCTAAAATGGTAGTGTGCCTGTTCTAGAATAAAATCATTAACTCAGGAGCTTTAAAAAGGCATTGAGATCCATCCATGGACATATTTTCCAGATCTTTAAAACAGCAGTCCCCTCTGCAAAAAGGTCCTAAGGGATGCTACCAATCTCTACAGAAGTCAAGGAGAACTAGATCTGCTTCCTCTCGGCATTCTTGAGAAATAAATCAGGTGTAGCTGCTGCTAGTTATTAATATCCTTGTCTTCTGAGCACAGGGTGCTAAGGAGAAGCCCTAGGGTGTAAAAGAAAACCACAAAAAAGCAAACTCATTGGGGATGGGGAGGGTTGAACAGAAGAGCAGGGAAAGGATGTCATCCTTGGGAGGTAATCTATCTTGAAATCAATCAACTTAAAACTCCCAGTGGACTCTACAAAAATATTAACAAACTCCTAGAAAACCTCACTGTGTGCCACCCGCATGCTCCCTTCTATTTCTAAAAATAGGCCCACAGACATCCATGGCACATAGGGATTCCCATGCAGGAGGCAAGAGAGATCTGAGAGCAGCAGTAATCTTGGCCAAGGACAGAGGGTAGGGGGGCTCCAGGCCCTCCCCCGGCCAGTAACCTGTGGCTTCTCCCAGAAAATTGCATGTTATAAGACAGTTCCCCACCGGGATGAGCAAGACAATATTCAAAGAAGAAGAACTGAAATTGTAAAATAGCCACCTCTGGGATAATCGGGAGCCTTGCTTTGGAGGCTGAGGGTATCTGGGTTTGAATTCTTTGTGTTAGCAGTTTTGAGAAACTGAGCAAGTTAATTTTGGGGCTTGGTTTCCTCATCCATGGGGTTGGGATATCCTCCCCTGGGTTTTTAGAGACTTAAAACAGAGCATGTATGTGAAAGTGTGTTAAACACTAGTCAGTGTGGTGCTCGTGAGGCTAAGAAAGAGTGGACAGGAGGGGAGGACAGCTACTGGGATCAGTAGATAGACACTGACTGACAGCATCTCTCTTTTCCAAGCTGAAGCTCTTGTCCACATCTGGGTCTCTGCTTTGCAGGTCAAAACCAAGACTTGACCCATTTGCACTGAGTTGGTCTTGTCACAGCAGTGAACGTGAACCAGGCTAAAGGAGGCCATTGGGTGAGGCCAGGAAGTGTGTGTTCCCTCAGTGTGGAGATCAACCTTCTAGTTTGAGAATATTCCCCCATCTCTTCTCTGTGGATCTTTTTTCTATTGGGGAGATAGCCCTGAGCTTACATTGATAACAGATGGTGAGTGGGGACAGAAGGGACTGAGTGGTCTCCTGAGCTACTTCAGCCAGTCTGTGGGACCCTGAAGTATCTCCCCCAGTATAAGATCAGAAGTCACCTTCCCAGGGACAGGAGGACCTGTTTGTCAAACCCTGAGTCTCCAGTACAAGGATGGTGCTGAGTCAATACTGGCAAACTGACTCTTGAGACTCCCGCTGGAGTGTGAGGGCATGGGCTGGGTCTGTTTTGTTTACTGCTGCATTTCCAGTGTCCATCATGGACTGACAGCTAACCTCTCTGTGTCCATATGAGAGGTTCTTGTTATAACATTCCTCCAAAGTGGGATTTTTTGCAGAGCAGAGGCTCAGTAAACTGCTATGGGATGAGAGAAGGAATGAAAAGTTCTTGTTTTTAAAGTCTCCACCTGGAACTTTTAAGTGTATCATTTTATCTCACTTTATTTAGACTGCAGGTGACTTTTTGAAACATCCCTAATCAGAGCATGAGCACACTCATAAACTCTCAGGTAGCTATTGTGGGAAGAACTCAATATATACACCTTGTGTGCACTGTTGTTTATCCCCCTGAGTTTTCAAGGGCTCCTTTCTCTGAACTGTCCCTCAAATCACGGTAAACCATAAACCCTGGCTATATCCAAGATGGGAAATATATGGAAAATAATGCTAGGGAGCCATCTTCAAAGTGCCACAAAGTTCTGCAAACCACTCAGAAAACAGATGCCTGAAAGTCCAACGGAAAATA